GGGGGGGGCGGGGAGAGGGAGGAGGAACGACACCACAGATAAGTGCCAGTCCAAGAAAGCTCCCTGGCCTGCAGCTGGGCAATCAGCTATAGCATCTGCAAGTCTGTCAGTGGGTCCAAGCTGTTCCTGTGACCTGCCCAAAGCAGACAGGCAGCACTTCTAGACAAAACCCATCAGTGACTTGAATGGGGAAAGGCTGTGGGGTACGAGCAGAGTCTCTGCTGCAGCGGAAGCAAAAGTAAAGTGCAGCGTCCCACAAGCCACGGGTTTAGGACTGTGGGCAAGAAGATCTTCCCCAACGGAGTTCCATGTGCTACACAGCCAGGCCTCCAGCCAAACTGTAGTTTATTCTTGGCTCTCATGCCAAAACCAGCCAGGAACTGTTGAGGCATCATCTGCACCAACTGCTGACTTCGGGCCCTCTCTCCTCTCCGGCTGAATGGCCCTGGGCAGAGCTTGTTCCTCTTGGAAGTCTTTGGGCACAGTTCTGCAGTAGAAGCTCCTCAATCACCTTGTTACACAGACACTGTTCCCAGTACAGGAACTGCCACTTTTACCACCAGCGATTGCTCTCAGGATCACCAGGCTGGCAGCAGCCACTCGGTCACAGCAATGAACGGTTTTAGGCAACCGCTAGCAACAAAAGTAGTAAGTTGGCAGCAGCTCTGCTCAAGATGGGGCTGAAAGCCAGACAGTCCCTTGTGAGCTGGCAATCCCGCTGCCAGGTCCACAGGAGACCCTGGCTGGACGGGGCAGCAGCTATACCATGCCACATGCTGCTGCTGAGTTGCTCTCCAAAATCCCCTGCACAGCTGGGGTGGCTCTTCTAAAACCTCTCTGTGTAAGTGCACAGCAGGCCTGGCTCCCAGCACCCTTTCCCTTCAAACTGACCGGTATAACAGAGGTCCTAGGACAAGGATGTCCATAGCCATCCCAAAACAGGCAAGGAACGGGTGTGCCAGGACACAGAGAGGACCCAGCGCCATCAGTGATGTTCACAATGCTGCTTTTACAAAACTCCGTGGCTGCTGGAGCAGCCTGAAGCTTGTGCTCAGGCAAGCACTCACCGCTGTGGCAGAACATCTCCTCGGCTTTCCTCAAAGTCCTCTGGCTCATAGGGCTCACGCAAAGGCCTCGCTGGCAGAGTGCTGGGCAACGCCCCACACGCTAAACGGAAAAGCTCTTGGCTATCTCCAGAAATGTGGTGGAAGGGGGTGCTCAGGAAATTCTTCTGGTCCGTGGTGGCAGAGGGGGTTTTTAAGAGAGTCCTGCGGTCCATGACTCCAACAGGCAATAGCCAAAAGGTGTGAAATAGATGCTTCCCTCAACAGGTAGCGGATGGCTTGCCGTGCCTGTGTTCCAAAGGCAGTGTTACAGGTCCCCCATATTTAATATGCCTTGAAAGCAAAGAGTACAAATCCAACAGCATGACTAGCACTGTGGATTTCCTGGGCTAGCTACAGGAACGGGCAAACTTAACTGCCCCTTCCTCTACCACGGCAGCAGGACACTGTGCCCCATCAAGCACTCTCCCTCTGGGCACCCAGTGCCAGCAGAAACCAACAGTTCTTTGTCCAGATCACTCCGGTGTGCTACAACTCAAGCATGCCTGGCTGTCGCACCACACAACGTTTACACGGCACGGCTCTTGGATGGCAGGCCAGGGTTCCTCAGGCTGGAGGAACCTGCTGCTTCTGGCAGAGCAGCTCCGCCTTGCTCTTTAAGCAGTCCTGACATCCTGTGCTTTCCCCATCTTGCAGTTAGCCCACTGCTGTCAGGAGAGAGGAACCAGAAGGTCTAGAGACTGGGAACAGGGTCTCTCAGGGAAGGTCCTTGTCTCGGTTCCCCCTCCTTGGTCCATCCTAGCCAGGGTTTTAGACCTCGTGGAACTCCAGCAGGGCAGCAAAGCCCTGAGCCTGCAATATCGGTATCTGTCACAGCTTGAGCCACCAAAGTGAACCACACCACAAGCTGCAGACATCTTATTAACCAGATCACATTGCCTAGAAGATCCTGGCCTATGAAAGACCAAGCAGAATGAGACTAAGCGAGCGTCCGAGGGCCAAACGACGTCTTGTCACTTGTCACTATGAGAACCTTCCATCCTGAGGGACCCCAAAGCACTTTGCAATCTTCCATAAACAACTGGCTCAAGTTAATGATAGGAAACGGGGCAACAGGCAGTGAAAATCTCCTCTCCAGCTGGAACTCCATGGATGCAGAATTGGGTTATCCGGGACACGGGGTTGGCAACTCCCCAAAGCTGCCAGGGATCTTTGGATAAGTGGTAGGACTTCAATCCACCATCACAAAACAGAGTGCCTCCAGCAGCTCAGTGCTCCCTCAAGAACGTTATAGGTTCAGCTCTGACTGAGGAGAGCCCACCTACAGCATCACCAGCACCACTTCCTGCAGCACCCTGCGTTTTCCTTGAATGTCTCCCATCCAAGCACTGACCTGGCCCAATCCTGCTTAGCTTATGAGATCTGAGAAGGTCACAGCTCGGAGGTGGTGTGGGGCTGCAGGTGGATTATCATGCCAAACCACGCTGTCCCCTAACCCTGTAAATCGAGCTCTCCGCTGGCAACATGAGGATGGAGTCGCCCATTAAATCCCTGAGTATCCTCGCTAAGAGTGTGAGCTACAGGCAGCACGCTGGCACCGGCTCCTCCCGTCTGGGCCCTGTGTGTCATAGAACCATAGACGTTAGAGATGGAGAAGCCCCATTAGGTCCCACTCCGTCCTTTCCCCCCCAGGGGCCAGTGCAGGATTGTTCCCTAGCGTCTCATCCAGTCCCAGGCAGGAAGCTTCCACCCCTCGCTGTTCGGTCTTCCCTGTGTCTCTCGGACTGAGCTATGCAGGTCCCCTCCCTCCCTCCTCCTCACTGTTCAGACGGCAAAATTCAGCAGGCTCTCGGGCCCCTTCTGCGTGTCCAGGTTGGGCTGGTTCTGTTGATTGTAAAATCGCAGCAGACACTGCTGGTTGCAGAAGTGTTTGATTTGCCCTCGCCAGTGGATGGTTTCCAGCAGCTTCCCCTGACGCTTGCAGGCATGGCACCGAGCTGCCTAAAGCCCGCATCAGCAGGAGAGAAACAACGAGTAACTAACCACACCCCCTCCGAGTGCAACACAACTCTCCAGTGAAAGGTGCACATGGCAAGGTGCTGTGAGCTTCCCCACAGCAGTGCCCTGCCAGTGCCAGCCGGGGACTCCAGCGGTGCGAACTTCTCACAGCAGCACTAGCCGCGGATCCAGCACTGTGAGCTTCCTCAGTGCAGTGCTCTGGCAGGATCAGCTGGGGACTCCAGCTACGTGAGCTTCCCCGTAGCAGTGTCCCGTCATTGCCAGGCAGGACTCCAGCAGTGCCAGGTTCTCCGCAGCAGTGCCAGCCAGACTCCAGCAGCGCGAACTTCGTCAGTGCAATGCCCACTTATTTGGGTGCCGTGCCCACCACAGCACTTAGCACAAGCTGCCAGTGCCAATACTGACCTTGAAGTACCAGAGCAAGTATTTGCTTTTGCAGTCTTCACTACAGAAGTCCCAGGTGCTGCCCTCCAGCTGCTCGGTGACCGCCCGCTGGCAGGTCTGAGAACAGTAGGTGCAGGTGATGCAGCACAGGCCCAGGTTCTTGGTGAAATCCTGTTTGTAAAGAAGCACACACCCTGCGGAGAAACAATAGGAGTGAAACCTTCCCAGGATGAACTGGGGGCCTCCCTGACCCAAACATGAGCAGAATCCAGGTCTGCGGAGACAACAGAGCACACGCAACACACTGTAGGGAACAATCCAGCACTGGCCCCTGGGGCTGGGATAAGATGGGACCTCATGGGGACTTGCCATCTCTCACCTCCATGCTTCTAGGAAGAGTCTGACTCCAACCTCCTGTGTGCAGGAACCCAGCAGGCAGGGCAAGGCCAGGTCAGGCCAGCCCAGACGCAAGAGCGTAGAAGTGCATGATGACAGGAGGAGCGGAGCTGCCACCTGCTGTCTCCCCAGCCCCCAGAGAGAGAAAAGCTGTGAGAAAGCCCTCCCCAAGGACACAATGAACGGTAAAGATCTTGCCCTAGGGCCTGGCTGGACAGCAAGCCATCCCCACGACAGTCCTCCCTTCACTGCATGGTGAGGCTCTTGCCCCAGGGCCTGGCCAGTCTCCCCTCTGTTCCACTCCATGCTCTCTTCTCCTCCCCCAGCATGGGCTGGCAGGGGGTCTCTGCCTCTCCCATGCCTTCCCCAAGTACCTTCGCTGCAGAAGTTCTTCTCCACCCCAGAGAAACGGATCTTCTCATGCAGCAGCTTCTCCTGCTTGCAGTGCTCGCACTGAGACACTACCCCACGTAGCCGCTTGAAGTCCTCGCAGCAGTCCTTGCAGCAGAACTGATACACTTTGTCCTGCCAAAGAGACCGCCGCCAGGTCAGCCAGGCTGGCAGGAGGTCTCCACGCTTCCTGGCGTAGCGGGAGCAAGACTGTGGGGCTGAGGAGACCCAGTCTCCAAGTCCCCAGCTCTCCTCGCACGGGGCTTAGCAGAAGGGGGCTTCCTCCCGCCCTAGCTCTGCTCTGCTGACCTTCCGCTGAACAAGACAGCGCGCTCGGGGCATGGTTTCCAGCCACGTCTCTACAGCTAAGCAGTTCAAAGCACTCGCTCAGAAGGAGCTCTAACCCTTGAGCTGGGAAAGGAAGAAGCTCTGCAGTCCTCCCCAAGGTTGGCCTCAGCCTCACTATCGCCCTGGGGAAAAGAGTGCTCACCTGCCAATCTAGGATCTCTGGCTTCCCACTGAAAAGATTGTGGCAGTAATGGCAGTTCAGGTGGATCCCTCCTTCTGGGCTGGTGCGCTGCAGAATACAAAGACAGTGCATGGAAGGAGTGTACGGAGGGCCGTGAGCACCCAGTTTTGCACCGCTGCTGCTCATCCTGCCTCCTCCACCGCTCACAGCCCCCACTCTGCCCTTGCTTCCACAGGCAGTGGCTCAGAGTCAGTCCGTCAGATCACGCATCCAGCTACCGGATAGCAGAGGCTTGGGCAATTCCACTTCGCTTCCAGGGTACTGGGTTCAGCTCTCGTCAGGTAAGCAAGCTTTCAGATTGCCAGCTCTCTGGATTTGAAAACACCAGGATATGGGGACTCTGCTATCTTTCCTTAGGCTAAAAGCTCTGGAAGCACGTGTGCCTGGTGTCTAACATCAGGGTAATATGACTTCAGAATTCAAGCAGTCGTTCTCATCCCACCTTCCTCCGCTAGATTAGAGTGCCATTTAGCACTTGGTGTCTTGTCCCCAGTGATAGATTTATTAACAGAGTCATCTTCCTGGTTTTCTTCCTGATAACCTCTGATAAGGTGCTCTGCAAGCGTGCTGCATTTTTCAAGTCCCAAAGTAATTTTGGTGGCGCTTTTCAGCACACTGCCAATTTTTCTTCAACATTAAAAATAATGTGGACATCAGATGAATATCCTTCCGGTCTGTGCGGTATTCTCAGTAGTCCTTTTGCTCCCTAGTCCCCAAACTTCAATTCTCTATTCTCCTGCTAGTACTTCCAATACTTTAACTAATCCTTTCTGATACAGTTTTAAGATGGGGAGCTCGCGCTGAATGGCATATCTGCTATAATCACAGAGCCTTTTCAAAATTCTTACTTTATCGACCTTATACCCCCACATTACTTGAGTGAGGCTGATGTAGGATCTTGCACTGACCTGTATTTAAGTGCATGTTATGTATGAGGAGCCAATCTTGTCAAGCAATCCAACTGCTTTTTATGACTGCCCTGATCTCAAAAGGAGTTAACGCTCCACCAGTTTTTGTTTCATCTGCAAAATTTTTAGCACGCTGATGCAGACTTTACTTCCAGATTGCTGATGAAGCTGTTGAACTCTTTGGGCTTAACAGTGATCCCCAAGAAGCCCATCTTGAAATACTCCCTCCAATGGTTTTTCTTTCACAAGTGTGTCCCGAGATCTGTCAATAAGACGGTTCCTAATCCAGGTTGTGTGTGGCTTTTCTGATACTTCACAATGCTGATTTTACATGGCAATAATCCAAGTGTCTTAAGAAGGTCTACAGCTGTAACAACTCTTCAGCTACTCTTACAAACAGGATTTGTGATCTCAGCAAAGGATCATATCATTTTTATTAAAAAAAAAAACAAAAACAAAAACCAACCCCCCCAAAACAAAAAACCCCAAAATACTGCAACTGCCATTAACTAAATCTCTACCTCTAGATTCTGCATTTTCTCAGTTGCCCAAGGCATGTCCTGACCTAAGTTTCCTGGGTCCTCCTGCTTGTCGCTTTGTTCTTTAAATTACCTTTGAATACCACGAAGACTTCATACATACGAGAACTTTACAGCAGAAGATAAAAACCATCAGCCAAGCCTTTAAGGACTATTAGATGTATCCTGCTGATTTTGAATTTCTAGACATGTTCTAGGAGATTTATGTTCCTTGGTGATCTCTGGCTCAGAGGACAGCTCTGCCCCTTTCCACCATGCTAGCAGGTGCCCACTGTGCTTGTGCCCTTGTAAGGCCACTATATCCCACGACCGCTCATGCAGCGCAGCTCTGTACAGCACTCCCGCTGGGCGTAAGCTGATAGACAGGAGAGAACTACAGCCAGACTTATCCCAGCTGAGGGGAGGGGAGGTAAGGCCAAGACTGAGTAATTGGCAGCTACAAGCACTGCAACTCAGGTCCTCCAGCAGAGCCTTTCCTATGGACCCTCCCTGAGGAGCCTGAGGAAGCTGCAGCCTCTGCCGAGTATGAAAAGAGGCAGGAGGCTCTAGGGCTCAGCCCAGCATGAAGGATGTTTCAGTACCTGGAATTTGGTCCAGCAGCTGGGGCTGCAGAACTGGTAGACAACCCGGTCTGTCTTGTTGTAATAGCAGGGTTCAGATAAACTCTTTCTGCAGAAGCTGCAGGGTCTAGGGGGACCTGATGAAACAGACAGGAATCGGTGAGGGCAGCAGCACAGGACATGGGACTGGGTTCTGAGGATGGCATGCAGGCTACTCACTCCTCCTCAGTCTGTCAAGCTATAACCAGAAAGGAAGGGACAAGAACACCAGGAAACTAAGAGCACCAAGTTCTGCTAGGACAGAAACGTTAAACATGGATGGAGAGCAGAGCGGCTCCGGGAAGTGACCCTGGCTCTGCAGGAATCTGGAAAAAACAGCCTGCAATACTTGTACCAGTCAGCAGAGACCATTCCCACTCCTGGACACCCCGGTGCTCCATGTAGCAGAAAGGGCAATGCCAGCACAGTAGAGCACTACAATTGCTTCCTGCATTCTCAACAGACACTACCCTTCAGCATTAGAATAGCTATGTGCTGCAAGGGTGCCTCCCTCTCCTAATACCCTTCCACTTATCTCCCTGGACTCCTCCCCAGACATCTTCCCTTGTGAGCAATATGCCTTCCTTCCAGTCTCAACCACAAGCAAGGGTACAAAAGGAGGAGTTAAGAGTGGAGAGCTGACTGAATCCCTGTATGTGGGCGCTCTTACCAACCAAGCCTGACTGCTTCACTTTGTGGGAGGTAGTGCAGCAAATGGAGCAGAACAGGCCCATCTTGCCGCTGCGATCCACGTTGGGCAGCATGTCAAAGTTCTTGCACAGCGTCTTGCACCACATGCACGGGTAGACCCGAGTGTTTTTCTGCAAACACAGAGCAGAACAGAGCTGTCAGAGAGCCCATCACACTCGTCAAAGCTCTATCCCCCACCTGCCTCATGCCCCCACCCCATTACTGCATCCACCGCAGGGCAGCTCTCCTGCTGGGAGCACATGGACACCTGACGTGAGAGCCAAGCTCGCAGACCACAGGTTCAGGTAGCTGGTGGTAGAGAAAAGCTGACTTTGCTCACTGGCACCTCAGCTTCACTTTGTCAAGGGTATGCACGTACTCATGGGGACCCTTGGCAGTAATGCAGAACCTGGCAGTGCCATTAGGACAGTTCAGTGAAGCCTACTCAGGCCACAGAGGAGCAGATACAGCCAAGCTCTGGGTAGACATCCAAAAGAAGCTGACCCATGCTAACTCCATGTACCAATGTCACTGGACAGTGCAGCTTATCAAGTGTTTGACCTTCGCTTGGGTCCAGTATGAGCCCTGGGGTCACAGCCCCAGCAGAACGAGTGTACTTGCTTAAGTTTCAAAGTTTCTCCACGGCAATCTCTTACGACGTTTTGTCAGCAACAAAAGGCCAAGAGGGTTCAAGCTGCCTGCTGTTGCACAGTGTCCTGTGCTAAACTGAAGAAAGGAGATGTGTGCCCATGGATACCTCCCCACCCCAGGCAGCTGACTCCACACACCTTCTTGTAACTGTTGAGACAGGTGGAATTGCAGAAGCGTTTTTGCTGGCCTTCATGGAAGAGGTATTCCAGGGGCAAGCCCTTGTTGTAGATATAGAGTCCACAGTTGTCGCAGCAGTTGGTTTTCAGCCCCTTGGTGGCCCGGAACTTGGTGAAGCAGGCGTCGCTGCAGATGCGATGCACCACGTTCCCATTGCTGACCTCGTGCTGGATCTGCAGAGGCATCATTGCTGTCACTCCCTCATACCACCACGTGCCTCCCTCCTACACACACGTGCCACTTCCAAGGCCCTTGGGAGGATGAGCTGTTGCGCTAACAAATTCAGGCAAGAGCCATCCCGGAAGCCGCTGTGTACTCAGCCTGGCCTCCCTCGCCAAAAACAGCAGAGCAGTTGGGAGAGCAGAGTGGCAGGAGGCAATTGGCTGCAGGCTAGGGGGAAGGGGAAGTTTTGTTTCTGGGAATGAGGGCTGGATCACAGTGGACAAGAAAGAACCCGGAAGAGAGCTCAAACCACCTCAAGGGCTGAGGCCTCAGGCCATAAGAGTACCCGGAAAGTGCCCTGCACTCAGGCAGGTCTCAGGCAGAACCGAGCACCTCAGCCTGGATACGGAAAAGACAAAGACTTTGTTTACCTCGCCGGGTTTGTGGCAGACACTGCAGCGGCTGGTGTCTGAGGCCTCTGCAGACTGAGGTGCCGGTCTCTGCTGCTGGGCCTCGTAGAGAGAGAGGCAGACGGAGGTGCAGAACTCGTGAAAAGAGCCACCTGAACCGATCTGGGCAACCACCGAGTCCTTGGTGTTCCAGATTTCCCTGGGGATCAGGAAGGCATGTATTAGTGCAGGGACACACCAGTCCTGCCATGAAGGGACAGGATGAAAGGCTGCAATGCAGGGGACTCCCTTGTCCCAAGAGGGCAGCAAAAGCTGTCTCATAGCAGCTGCGGTCCAACCCAGAGGAGTGGTGTCCAGAGGGGCAGCATGCATAAGGTTGCTCCGAGAGGAGGCAGGGACAAGGTGCATTAAGCTTACGGACAGGCAGAGAAGGGCAATAATGCGAAGCGGGAGTAAGGAGGATGGGATCTGCAGAGCACGAAGAAAGACATGGGGCAGTAGGATAGGAGTGATGTGGCAGACAAAGGAAGCATGAGGGTCACAGGGATGGCGACTGGCAGGTACGGCTGTGGGGCAGCTGAATGGGATCACAAGTGCGGGAGTCAGGAACACTGAGGGAAGTGGAACAATCACACACTTTTTACAGAAGGTGCATATCTTTTTCCCAGGTGGTTTTTTTGAGAAGGTGGTGAGACAGGAGCTGGAGCAGAAGAGCTGAGGGAGTCCTTTACGCTGGTAGGCAGTCTGGCCTTTCTGCAGTGGGGTCCGGCAGTTGGCACAAGTCATCTTGGTAACAGTAGAGCGGGCGGCTCGCTGAGCCATCTGAGTGCGCAGGGACATACGGGTTGAGCGTCGGGTACGAAAAGGAACAAAATCCTCATCATTAGGATCATCCACCATTGCATCTGAATCTTCATCAGAGACCGGAACTGCAAAAGAACAGAGAGAACATACACAGAAATTCCCTGTTAGGGACTGAGACAAGACCTCAGCCATGAGAGACATGGTGGGGCTTTCTGGGGTCACCTTTCTGGATAACTTCTACATGCTTTGTACCTTCCTGGGTGGGGTGATAAAGGGACCCTGAAAAGATATTCTGCTGAAATTGGAGATGAGCCAGGAAGTCTTTAAGCAAACTGGGCTTAGGTACAATTTTTCTCTAGGAAGTGAAGGTCGAGCAGAATTCTGAAACGTGAACATTTACAGCAGAAATCCCTCCAAGAACCAGTAGAACTTAAAGGGAACAAGCTGGTTCACCAGCCACTTCTCCAGCACAGGCTGCACAGGCAGACAACGAAGGAGCAACAGACAAATACTAGGAAATGGCAGTGTGACACTCAACATCTCACAGGACAGAGACTTCATGTACTTTGGCAGGGAAGTTCCCAAAATACAACCCTCCTTCAGACAGCGTGCTGGGATAGGGACAAAGGAGCAAAGTTCCTGGTTGAGGAGACGGAAGATGGATTTCATGGGGAACGTCCACAGATTCTCATCCTATTACTTGGTGCTTGGTACCTACAAACCACTGCAAAAATACTATCAGAGCTCTCTTCATCCTAAGCGCCCTGAGAAAGCCGGACAAACACCCTGATATGAAGATCCACAGGGGTGAAGGGACCTGTCCTGCATAACAGAAAAGTCTGCATAAAAGCTCAAGAATTCCTACGTCCATCCTACTCGCATCACAAACTGCCTGCTCTTGCTGGGCCCGGGCCCTACTTTCTGGCTGAAAACAGACCAGCCTGTTGGCCAGCTCTCGTTACTCACTGCTCTCAGAGGAGTTCACAGTTTCAGGCCTGGCAGTTTCTGATCTTCTGGCTCGTTCACTTCTTTTCTGCTCCTAGAAGACATTCAGAAAATACTTAAGCTAACCATTTGCTGGGACAACCATAGGTAAGTATCCCTGATCATGGTGGAGTTCCAACTTCTGGGCCTTGCTTTCACCACAGCTAGGCTGAAAAGGGATACAACTCCATGGATACCTGACCAGGGATAGCAAGACGGGCAGAGAGGGGGAAGCAGGCTTATGGGGATGAAGTTCCAGCCTGGGGTGGCAGGGAGAGACATACTGAAGCCACATGTACAGCACAGTGGCAGTGTACAGGGACCACTGTCACAGGAGACATGCACACTCCTGCCCAAAGGGGCAAAGAGACAGCCAGGGTCCCTCACCGCATTTAGCGACAGACAGACAACCTCAATACTCCTGTAGAGTATGTACTCGACTGCGTTCTCCTCACCTTCTCAGTGGGCTGCTCGCTTCCCTTCCCAGACAGGCTTTCTCCTACAACAGAAGCGGAGAGGAAAGCTTGACTCCAGCCTCTTGATTTTCTCCAACAGAAGAGAAAAGATGTTGTTCCAATGCAACCACTCTTTGGGCTTGTCTGCATAGGAAGCCTCAGACCCAGCTAATGAGCACAGCTCTGCTGGCGTCCAAACACAGGAAAGCTTCTAAACCCATCACATGTAGTTAGAGAGCCACACACACAGCTTGGGAGAAGGTCCTTTAAGGGGGAGACCTCTCTGCAAGGGTGTGAGGGGACGCTGGGCAGCTGCAACGGTGCCTCCAACTGGTTCTGACCATGGAGACTGAACCTCTCCCAAGGGTGACCAGCCTGGGCAGGGGTCATTGCCTATTGGAAACGTCTTCTCCTGGTGACCCTCAGTTCCCATAATGACTCCAGCGAACAGGAGCGTAAACTAAGCTGATCCACAGCACCAGCTTGAGCGGGCAAGCTCCTAGCTGGCACAAACATTAAGCAACATTAAAGCTATGAAAGTGAGAGAGCTATGAGAGTGAGAGATTGTGTGCATCAAGGGACCAGCTTCCAGAGCACTATTCCTTATAAGCAAGCCCCTTTCCTCACATCTAGCCCATCAGCAGTATTGCCATGGAAATCGTCAGAGGAGACGGAAAAAACTGTTGCTCAAAACAGCCTCCAACTTCAGAGACGTGCAGCAGCGTGGCCTACTGAGCAAGAAGCAGCTAGGTTCTGCAGAGATAACTACCCACCTGCTGGTGGCGAAGCTTCCTGTGCCTTCAGTATGCTGCTCTCTTTAAGAGAACTGTTCCCACTATCATCCCCTTCCTCTGTCTGGTTTTCATCCACATGCTCAGGGAGCAAGGCTGCGGTACTGCTATCCAGGCTCAGCTCCAGCCCCGCTTCCACTGCTAGCCCTTCCCTCTGCACAGGTGAGCTTTTCCTTGGTGCCTTCAACCTTGTCTTCTTGGTTTGTTTAAGACTGAGCTGTGGGGGGGACACTGGCAGACTCGAGGACTGCGCTGTGATTTCTTCTGTGGCTGGGGCACTGTTCAGTTCCCCTGAGTCAGGAACAGGCTGTGGGGGCGATTCGGGGGCATTGTCATCAGACAGTGCAGGAATAGCAGCAGCACCATCATCCTTTAGGTCCCCAGAATCATTTTTTGGTGCCTCTTCCCCTTCTTTCCATGTTTCTGGAACAAGGGCTTCTCTAGTGAGGGCAGAGGAGTCTCCTGACCCATCCTCCACATCCTGGGAAGAATGTGCCTTGTATAGCCCATCCAGATCCTCCGCTTTATCTAGCTCCATCAAGTCAGCAGTTTTGTCCAGCTCATCTAAGACATCAGGTTTCTCCAGCATGTCCATGACACCAGGTTTAGCCAGATCGAGATCATCTGACTTGTTTAGTTCAGACAGGCTGTCTGCTTTCACTAGAAGGTCCAAGTCCCCATCTGCAGTCATCTGCTTGGGTTGATCCCAGTCAGGGGGCTGAAGAACCGAAGCGTCCTGGGTAGAAGCTGTTTGGGAGCCGAGGAGATCTTCCCCAAACTCCATGTCAGCAGGGAGATCACCAATAAGTGGTTTGTCAGGCAAGGACAGCGGGTCCAAAGATCCCGAAAATTCACTGGAATCCATTTAGAAGATGACAACTAGAAACGAGAGAGACTTGCAAGTTAATGAAAAGCAGTGTTACACAGTGCATGAATACAGCAGTGCCCACTCTTCTGAACACCGCTGGAGTAAAACAAGGCCCCATAAGGCTGCTAGTAATAACCACGATGTGAAAAAGTCAGTCACCCCTACCCTGGAGATTACAAACCTCCTAAGCCAAACAGCAGGCATGGGACGCAGCAGCAAACCTTTGGGCGCTCTCCATATCGTGTGCACGCTTCTCCACAGCACGGTCAACAGACCTGCCATCATAAAGGACGCTAGGGTATCAGAAGTGACCCAGGAATTAATTCAGAAGACTTCACATAGCTGTTCTGTGGTGTTCTCTTCCCTGCCTTTCACCTGACTGAAATAATCCGGCTTATCCTGTTCTTCTAAGTTGTTCTCATGCAGCTAACTCATCTTACATTTTTAAAAGCATCTTTTCTCTTAAGCACACAGGGGTTGCAAGGACACCTTGTTTGCTCTGTGGCTTGCACCTCAAACCAGATACCATCCCAAAGGGACAGCGGATGACAAGATGCAAGAATTTTGTCAGAGGACAGAAATGATCCACGTTACACTATAACTATGGTTATAGTGTAGTCCCAAAACCACGTGGGCTAATATTCAGACACAGAAAAACTGGAAAAACTTAAGGTAGAACTGGAGGGAATTCTAGACAGTGGCATGAAGAAAGGTGGGAAAGCCCATGATGTTACAAGCAGTTTTGAGAGGAAGAAAAGGTAGCAAAACAGTCCTAAGTGTGCAATGCAGAGTCAGGAAAAAAGACCAGTGAGACTTTGCACTGCACAGACAGCGCTCTCGCACAGAGAGAGGTGATGCTGACTGCTAACATCAGAGGGACAAAATCACAGCCCAGCTCCTCATGCCTAAGAGAGGTCAACTTTATCAAACGCCAGAAAGGGCAAGACCATGAGGTGAGGCAAAAAAGCATTCATATCCATATTGGCGAATCGTTAAGTTATAACCCTGCAGAGAAAGGGTAAAAACCTAAAGAGGGGAACGGAAAGGGAGACAGAGTCCATAAGTGGCCAGGCAGAAAAAGACGTGATGTAGCATCAGGTCCCCCAAACAGGTTGTAACTACGATAGCACAGGGAAGGCACTAGAAATGAAAGATGCGGCACCAACCCACTTGCATGAACTTCACTGGTGACGGCTGATCAATTCCTTCTCTACACCCTTCTCTCCGAAAGGATAACAAAGTCGCACTTACGAGCGGTTTACTCAGAACTAGACAGGAAATAAGTGGATAGAGAATGTAGCCACCTTCTGAAACTCAGTTAAGCAGGAATTCAGGAAATCATACCTACAGCTAGAGGGCAAAGTCATTACCTCTTATTTTTATCTGAAAACATATCTGCCACTCTGAAATAGAAAATGCAGCTAAGCACTGTCCCCACAATCACAAACAGAGACTACAGAAGATGTGATCTTCAGAGACGCTCAGCAAGTTTCACCAACGAAGACTTGGTTATTCCATTCACTGTCTTTAGTTACAGAGTAGACAAAGCTTCTACAATGAGCTAACTCCAGATCAATGTGAGAGCTAATATGTGTTTCAGGGTGACCAACAGGAAGAAGAACAAAGTGAAATAAAGACATCTGAAAGAAGTCGTAAAGGTTTGAGGCAGGTGAGAATCCTCCCAAGATGAGAAACATGTTTTTCTGCTTCTCTGAACATTAACAATACCTCCTTCTCAAAGATACACCTCAGCCAAGTTTCCATGCCTGTATGGAAAGACAGCAGACCTTACAACAACAAGCAGCAGAAAGGTCAAGCCACCGAGATGAACAATAAAAGTATATTTATAAGTGTACTTAACAGAGGACTAAGATACTCCTCAAATTCACCTTCAGACACTTTGCACAAGTCTGCAATGAATCCACAGAGCTCGTACTCCTACAGTCTTTGCCACTTTCAGCTGGCCTAGCCTTCATTTGGCAGAAAGAGACCCTGGGAACAATTTTGGAGCGTGAGGAATCCATGTTGGCATCTCCCCCTACGGGACAACACAAGCAACAGCCCATGAAAGCGTGGGGAGAGGAACTCGCCATTCTGCTCACATGTGCTCTACAGACAGACCAAAAGCAGCTGGTTTCAGCAACGTATACCTCCGCACTGCTTTCAAGCTCTGGCCGCAGGAGCGTTACAATGCAAGACAAGACTACGATAAACCTAACGACAAGGACGCACAGCCTTAAAGAGAACAACTATTCTGCAGATTAAATCAACTCCAAAACACTGCTATGTGGACAAGAAAGATCTAAAAGTCCACAGTAAGACCACTCACATGCAAGTTCTGGTTGGAAGCACAGCGTGTTCCTGTGAACCCGCATGTTCAGATTCCTATTTGCTTTCATGAACTTTGCCAGAATCTCCCCGGCAGAACAGCTCACGCGTTCCAGCGAACAGTTTAAAACATCTTCTTAGGTTGCGCAAGGCTAAGAACAACTGCAGTCAGTCAAATGAAAGATCCAGCTATTCAAATATCCCATTTTCTATTGACAGCAAGAACGAATACCTGGCGGGAGAATATAAGAAACACCACTGACACAGGACGAGTCTCCTTCAGCATATCACCCAACCAAACGGCAATCAAGAAGAACCGCTTTGCATGAGTTGCATTGGGACTATCATTGTAAAGACTCTAATAGACAAATCTGTCACGAATTTGCCAAATTCCCTTTCAAACCAATTTGTTTTGGGCCTCCACAAATTCCATTGGCAATAAGCTCTGCAACGTAACATTTTGTTCTAAAAAGATTTCATTTTGTTTACTTTAAGCCTGATGCATCAGAGCTCCATGACAATGAGACACAGAAACAGATGGATGCTAACATTTGACGCATTTATAGCATTCTGGAAAAGCTGACAGAGTAGCACTGAGGCCGGACTTAAGCGGGAGATACTGACATGCAAGGAACGTCTCTGCACGTCACTGCAACTCTGCGCCCCTGACTGAAGTCTTTGCAGTGGCTTTCAACCACCAGAACCAAGAAGGCAGCCCTGTGGGAGGAAAACCACACTCCTTTCGCTCACCTGGGACTTTCAGAATCGTCTGGGCTTCCTGCTAAACTTCGCAATGAGTTCTGCTGCCAACTGAACGCGCACTTTTCCTCCTGCTCTCTTCTCACTGCCTCTAACAGAGGGGTAATAGCTTACTGGTTTTGGCAGATGCACCACATTTCGTCATCTTTTTTATTCCAGGGCTATCTAATGCACAGATCACTCACTGAGTTCTGGTCACAGCTCAGTCTGAAATCTTTCTCTTTTCTAGCCACACACATATCTGGCAGCAAGGAAAGTATGCTGGAACACAACTCAGCCAAACAGAGAGGAGACAGCGTGGTGAAATCCTGCACGTTTACAGAGGATGTGACTGCTCAATCAGACGTTTGGAAAGTCATTACTTTGGACTGGGCACCATCCTCTCCAGAGTATTCAGTAACTGTTGTTGCCGGGAAGATCGAGCTCAATGACTGTGAAGTCCTCGGCGCAACAATCAGAAGCAGAGTGCTTCTCAGATAGCACGTGAGAGATTCCAAGTAGCTGACGGGTCTGCTGAGGGCCCTCCATGAACGTGTAGGACTGGCACGGATGCAACGCTGGCCACAAATCCAACGTGAGTAGACTACCAGACCCGACTTACCCTTTCTGCCAAAGGTGGGTGGGGAGGACAAAAATCTTCTCTCAGAGCACACTCGAGTACCACAAGTGACTAGCTGAGACTTTATATGGGTTGTTAAGGACATGTCAAGGACATCGCTGGTGCTGTAACCGCAGAGATCTTCCATATCATACAAACAAGCGTCCTGACTCAGTTAACCATCAGCGGGGGAATGTGGTCTAGCTGCAAAAACGAGCAGCTACCAATGAGTATTTAAGTAAATGAGACAGTAAAAACAAAACAAAACAAAACAAAAAATCCTGCTGCTACTCCCTCACAACGAAGTGGATACTTAGGAAGTCTCCGTTGTCCGCAGAAGAGCGCAGCCACGCAGTGACTGCCTTCCTCAACCAAAGGAATAGCAACTGTTAGGGTACCTATCCTAGACTTTTGTCAATGGATGTTGATTCCGATTTTCAAAGGCTGAAGGATTTACCTTTTTTCTTTTTTGGATATTAGAAAGCATTTGAAATATGAAAAATATTAAACAAAATATATTACAGTTAAAACACTCAGATCGACATACCAGATAATTTTTATCTAAGAGTTCTGTAAGAACTAAACAGAGAGCTCTGAAGAAAGTTCCTATTTTTGTGCCAAAATTTCAAATAAACAGTAATGCCTGACTTAGTAACTTTTCCTGACAAAAATAACAGCGGTCGACACATGGTTCTATCAATAAACCATTAAGGAAGTAACATAATGCCCTACCAGCATGGTTTTAGGCAACAGATCCTCATTAACAATATTATACCTTGAGTGACAAACATACTTCATTGCTATGATGTATCTGAGTTTACTAAAGCCTGGGGCAGTTTATAGCTTTCCAGATTGAAACACTGCAAACTTTTATTACAGATTGGCTAACTGCTTTTAAAAGCACATTAATTTATGAAGAATCACCAGTAAACAGGTATACTGCTAGGGACCAGGTTTCAGTCTCGTCCAAATTCTCTGGAAGGGAGCAAAAAAAAAAAAAGGTCATTACTCACTACTGGTTTTGGAGAGGCAGCTCTCCGAGCTCCTACTCATCAGCCTGGCAGCCCAGACGCTGCACTCGGAGAGCACAAAGCCACGTCCATTGGTGTCTTTCAATACAGCACTGCTTGCACAGAGCACCACGCTAGATCATTACCATCCGACTCTTGGCTAGTGTCTTCACTTGAAGACAGACACTGAAAGAGTTGAGATGTTTCAAATAAAAAAAAAAAAAATGCAAGAATCCCACTGCTTTAACAAATCAGTCATGGTTTAGAAAACGCTTTCCAGTGATAAATTTGTTTCGTTCACTGAAAAGAAGTGGGGAGACATGACATGACCTGTCTCAAAAAATCCATAAGGGAAGAAAATCTGATAGTAAAGGACTCGTCAGACAAACACACAGGAGGTCTCCGAAGGCTGGGGAGTCAAAGTTGGACAAAGGCAGAAGTGTCTGTTTCCAAATTAAAGCTGTAGGTTATTGACTATTTAACAACTGACTCAGCGATATATAGACCTCTGCAACTTGGAGATTTTATGATGGCATGGAGTAACTTGATCTTCAAGTCAGCTATAGCCACTACAAACGTCACTGGTCTAGTTCCTCAGCCTGCATTTTGCAGGTCAAGCTAGATGAACGCAGTGGTCTCTTCTGATCTCGGAAGGTATTATAGTATATTATTCTGTAATTCATGGAGTGAAAACAGCAGGACCCATCACCACGTCCCCTTTGGGCCAGCCTTCACAAGCGGCTGAAATTGTCTACCCTATGGGAACTCGCGGATGGGGAAAAGAAGGGTCTTCCCAGAATACCACCAGCAGCCTGAAGACACCAGCAATGGTTTTGTAACAGCCCCAAAGCCAGAAATACCTAGACCAAAGCCTTTTTTTTTTTTTTTAAACAAACATTAGGAGCACTAGCTTAAACCAAAACTAAATTTTCTACATCGGGAGCACCAGCCTAGGGTACAGGCCTCAAACTTAGTACTGCAGTCACACAGATTCAAGAAAGCTGAAACTCCGACACAGAGCAGATGGCGCTGCAACGTATGAATCCAAATGCATGGGTTTCCTGTTAATTCCTCTAAGGCAGAGCTGACCAAACTACATTTCGAGCTTGCAGCCCAGAAATTTCATCTTTAGCTTCAAGAAAATCAAACAGGAAGGACAAAATTCAGGAATTTTCTTGCAGAGTGGTCTGGCGTGAGGTTTTTCCAGGGAACTCCCTGCAACACTTTAAAGGTACTTTGAAGCGTTCCTTGGATCTCAGCATTATTTGCTGATAATCCAACACCCCCATGCTAGCGGTAAACTCCAAGACCACCAACAGGAGCAAGCTCATCCATCAGGGACACCATTCTGGCAGCAGTTTGAAACTGCCCAGGATACGCTCACATCTTTTCCTAAGACCAACATCCTCCAAGCAGCAACTGTCAAGGCTCTGCAACAGAGAAGCGAGCAACAGCAAGTCTAGGTACGCTCAAACACAACTTGTCTTGTTTACACACATTAAGACAGAGGTCTTAGCGGTAATGCCTCGTGTCTAGAGACCAATTCAACTTCAAGAGCCAACTCCACTCAAAGATCAAGGCAAAGAGCAAACTCTCCTGCTGCTTGTACAGCTTTGTGCCTACAGAATGAATAAGCAGCATTTTTTCCGCGACTAAACACTTGCCACAAGACAACGTCTGCCAAATCAGTGCTCCTAGTGCTGCAAAACAGTACACAAAGTAAAGCGGACAAGAAGCTTTAGGAGCGCTATCTGGAGCCTAACATACAAGTACGGAGGTGCGCAGCATGCTTTGGCAGCATCTACCGAACTTGCCTTAATGATGTTAAGACACTAGTTAGAAGATGCAAATGGACAGTAGACCTGGAAGAGCTCAAAACTCAACTGGGCAAGACCCTGAGCAACCTGATCTAAAGTAAGCTCTGCGGTGAGCAAGAAACTGGACTAGAGACCTCCAATAGTCCCTTCTAACCTAAATCGTTATACAATTCTCTGGGAAAACCTTACCATACAGGGAAGAGAGACAAGACAACGGGGCAGAATCTCAGGGAAGACGTGCTTTTGAGGGCAAAACATACAGTTTTCCACGGGTAGCCTTACAGAGCCAAAACACTGGGAGAGGAAGGTGAGCAGTCCACTAGGCCTTGCTGGCACTCGCAGACTCCTCAGCCAGCTTCCTGCTCTTGGGTCCCCAAACGGGAGTTTTAGCACAGGCATGCTTCACCTCAACGGGCAGAGGTGATCATCTGGGCCATGCTCTCAGCACTGGCTTGGATCCTGGGGTGGGCAGGGTTATTGGAGAAAACGCAGATTAGAAGCAGGCTTGGGGAACGAAGGGGCAGCGAGAGAGAAAGCGGTGAACGAGAACCGCAAGTGAAGCCCAGCGGGAAGAGGAAGGAAGGGCATCAGCGAAGCAGCTCCCCTCTTAGGAAGAGAGGCTTCAGAAACCTTTGGTCAGGGTGATTGGAGAAAACGCAGATTAGAAGCAGGCTTGGGGAACGAAGGGGCAGCGAGAGAGAAAGCGGTGAACGAGAACCGCAAGTGAAGCCCAGCGGGAAGAGGAAGGAAGGGCATCAGCGAAGCAGCTCCCCTCTTAGGAAGAGAGGCTTCAGAAACCATTCCCCAGGGCTAAGCTGAGCAGCCTGTCCCCCACCGTCGCTCGGCAGAGACCACGTCCAGCCCTGCCGCTGCCCACGCGCCCGACCGCCGGGGCCCGTTCCCGCGCTAGGCTGGGGCCCCAGCCCGCCCC